ACTTTTAAGGCAGCTAAAGAGGTGAAAAGGAAAGAGTAAAGGAGGCAAAATAGGGAGAGAAAGTGATCCAGGCTTTTCCCGTTCCCAGCTCGCCCGCGCGCGCCGCGGCGGCCGCGGCGCCTCTGGGCAGCCTCCGCCGCATCCCGTGCCGGCCGCGAGCGCGCGGCTATGAATATTGAAGTGAAACGGGGGCTTTTATGGACTTCACAGATGTGCGGGGAGCTGGGGCAGGCCTCATTACCTCGGGGTTCTTTAAAAGGCCAAACAAAAGCCAGAAGAAAGAGGGTTGGGGTGGAGGGGGCAGGGAGGCGAGAACTAGAAAAAAAGTTGAAAGAAAAGAAAGGACGCCTGGAGTTGATGGATATTCCATCTGTTTATGTTCAGGCCAGTGCTGGGAATTAACAAAGGCTGTTGGAGCCACAGACTTTCTTTTTCTCTCCCTCCCTCCCTATCTTTCTCCAAATGCCCTGGATGATTTGGTTTTGTTCGCTGCTCGCAAGGAGCAGAACGTGCCGTTTCGGGGTGTTTTTATTTTTCGGGAGCGTGTGTCTCTGTGTGGGACGCTGCAGCGGGTACCCGGACCGGTGGCACGGGGCTCCGCGCAGCTGGGAGCAGGTGGGACACATGGGAGAGCCCTTGGTGCCGTCTCTGCTCCCCGCAACTCCGCATTTTGGGAAAACTGGGGCGTGGGACTCCCCGGGGGCGAATCCCTGGGATTCAGGCATCGAGACGCAGCCAGGGCGGGGCGTGTGGTTGTCACCATGGTGTGGTTGTCACCATGGTGTGGTTGTCACCGTGGTCGCCCCGCTGGCCGTGTCCCTGTCACCCAAACACTGGGGTGCCTCTGCCTTCTTTTGCTTTGGTACGTGCTCCCTTTTCCCGTGTTCTCGCTCCCTCTGCACCTTCCCGTCGGTGCCGGAGCCCTCGGGATGTGCTGGGGGAATGATCCGCCCGGGAAGCCCCTCTCTCTCGCTGCCTTTTGCAGAATCCCCCTAGACGCCCGCACACGCGCTCGCTCTCTGCCTCTCCCAGCACATCAGCTTCATTACTAGTATTATTTTCAAGTTGTAAAGTCCATAATGGACATTACCTCAATCTCTGCTTTGGTTACAGCTGGCCAGTTCAGTGCTGGCATATATATAAAAAAAAGAAAGAATTACCCAAACCTTTATCTCCCAGGGCCCCACGCTAATGCTTTGCTGAACACTGCAGTCCCCAGCTGAGCTGTAAATGACTTTTTCATTTTCCTAGGCCTGCTACCTGGTCTGCTTGGTATTCAGGGGCACCCCACCAACAGGCGCTATCATTCTGCTCGGGCCGAATTACTTGATTAAAACGCATATCAACCGCTACGTGATTCGTTTTCTGCCGCGGAGCAGCGGCAGGGCTCTAAACTGAGCTCTAAACCCCGCTGCAGAGAGGAGGCCGTGGGCAGCGCTGCAGCTTCACACCGGTCCCTGCGGGCTCCGGATGCATCGGTCTACAAGAAACGGGCAACGTGGGCACTTCTGGCTTGCCCGTTTCCCTCTTATCAGTGCTGTCCGCAGGCGACTAGTCGCCTGGCACGGCTGCGTCTCCGTAGCCAAGCTGGGTTTCCCTCCGTTTAGTCCTGGGAGTTTGAGGTTTGCGACTTCTTTTGTTGGCAGTAGCATAGAAAATGTGCTTATTGCCACAATATTTTGGGTGCCAACAACAGGGAGCTACATGGGCAAGTGGAGAGGAAAAAGAAGAGTGGGAAAATAACAGGCACGCAGGTCTGGGCTCTGTTGAAAGCCCCTATGAGCAGACTGCAGGAGGAGGGCTCAGAAACAGAGCAGGAACGGGGAGAGTGCGGCTGTGTTGGGTGTATTGATACACCCAGCTCGACCTCCTGTTCTGTTATTGCTGGTCCCCTGCCTGAGCCCTGGCGATCAGGAGTCGCTGCCCTCCGTCGAGGCCGACCCCAGGGCTCTGGTTATTAAGGCAAAGTCAGGGCATCCAAAGCGCCGAGCGGCAGGTGACGCGCGGCCTCCCCGGGTCACCGCGGAGCCTCCGCTCCCTCTGGGGCAGAGCAACCCGGGTGACTCTGTGCTCCCCTATGGAGCAAGCCGGGCTGCAGGGAGCGACGTGGCCGGGGCGGCCTCAGCCCTCCGCAGCGCTGCCCCCTTCCCCGCTCCCTCTTCCCTCCAACTCCTTTAATTTTTAGGATGGTGCAGCTGGAAGCAAGAGAGGAAGAGAGAGGAAATGAGCTGCGGCCGAGCGGGTGACAAAGAGCCGAGCGGCTCCGCAGCAGGGAGCGCGCAGCTCCCCTTTCCCCTCCGACCAAATCCGCTCCCCGTTTAATGAATGCGTTCCCATGTCTGGTCCTGGCTGCCAATCCGTGCAGACAGCACCGAGGTGCTTCAAGACAAGGCGGCAGGTCCTTGTGGAGCATCAAGGGCTCAGTTGGAGCCTGGAGGGTCTTGTTGTGGCCGATTCCACCTAATCCTGTTGGTTAATTTAACTCCAGGGCTAAGAGGCTCCCGGCAGCAGTGAATGGAGATGGGGAGGAGAAAGGCAGAGGGAGAGGAAAGGAGGTAGAAGAGAAGGGGCTGCGGAGAGGGACGACAAATCCAGGCCATAATTACTAAGGGGTTTTCTCCTCCTTTCCTCATCTCTCCTCCATTTCTATCGCTCTCGAGCCCCTCCAGAGAGCTCTGCCCAGCTCGTGCCGCTTGCGCATGCGGTTCGTGCTGCGCTGGAGGCTGCGCAAACTGCGCGTTTCCCCCTCGTGCTCTCATGAGGAGAGACTCAGACTGTGCCGTTTGGGGATATTCACCCCTAAATCCTGGGTTTTGGAAGCTGGGTTTGCGTTGCTGAGCCCTGAGCCCTGCGTGGGCAGAGCTGCAGCGGGGAGCAGCACAGGCAGCTCAGCCAAACCGCGGCCCCGCGCCGCCGTCCCGAGGCCCCCGGCCGGGTTCGGGGTTTGGGAGCCCCCTCACAGCATCCCTGCGCTGTGGGAAGCAGCTTTCCCTGCGGCCTTCCTGCTCCTTAGGTGGTGTCTGCAGGGATGAGGCCCAAAAGCAAGCCCTGGCCTTGCCTCGCAAGGGATTTTCCGTAGGTTATTCCTCACAAACCTCCTCATGGCAGCAGTGCCTCACCGGCGGGTTCCAGCTGCTCAGGCATGGAGAAGACCTGTTAGATGGAGGGCAGCTGTAGGCAGAGAGTCCCCCGGTACCAGAGGACACGTTAAATAATAAGCTCAACTGCCCTCGCTCTGGGCCAAGAGCCCGTCTGTATCATTTAATAAATCTGGGGCTGACAGCAGCAGCTGCACGGTGCTCCGACCAGCTGCTTCCAGACGTGCCCGGGGATTTTCCTCGCTCTCTTGGCTTCATCTTTGTAGTCGCGGGGTCCGGGCCTCCGCTTGGCACGCGGGTTTGTGGTTTCTTTTCCCAGCCTGGCTCCTGACTCCCAGGTCGAGCGTAGGTGGATCCTTGTGCCGCCACGGCCTCGCTTGTGCCGCTCGGAACGGAGGGAATGCCAGCGGGAGCGCTGGGAAAGGCGCCGCCAACGTGTCCGGTGAGCGCTGCCCCTCCGAGCCCTGCACCACGCTGGTGGCCGCACGTTGGCCAGCGCTGCTGGGAACAGGACGTGCTGGGGGCTTGTGACGTTCGCGTCCTCCCCCAGGCCCTGCGGCCGAGCCGCCATTCTCCGTGAAGCTTTCGGAGGAA